TGGGGTGGCACCTTCTTAAGCTGTGATTTTGGCTGCTAAGTTTGTCTCTGATGCAGCTTCCGTTCTACCTGTTTGTTACTCCTAGACTTAACAGCACCTACTTGTGGGGAGAGAGGGAGGGGTTTGTGGGGGGGGACAGAGAGAAAGCATCCACTTTGGGGCAAAAACCACCCACCAAATGGTGGAACTCGTTTCTGTTGCATTGGACTGCAAAGCAATTTCTCTTTAATATATACATTTTTAATTTAATGAACGCTAAAAGCCTGTGTGGTGCATCTGCGTGTCCCCCCGCCCCCAATTTCCACCTACCCTCCTCTCCGAACGGGGGCCTGGCCTTCCTGCTGCAGTTATGGTGTGGTATTCTCCTTCCTGGCGTGGCGGCTTCACCCAGGCCCTCGCGGCTGCTGCTGCTGCTGCTGCTCCCTCCTCCTCCTCTTCCTCCTCCCACCCTTCTTTCGCCTCGCTCTCTTGCCGAGCACTGCATATGCGAGAAGCACACCGGCCTTGCGCTGAACCTGAGCTGGAGTGGAGTGCAGGTCCTGGCCAGCTTTCGGAAGGGCCCCCGTTGGCGTCACCTCAGCTGCCAAAGCAAGGGAGGGTTCGGTAGCGCCCCGGGGGGGGGAAGCGTCCGGAGTCCCCAGAGCCGGCCAAAAGCTTTTGGGTCCGAGACAGAGGAGTCTGGCCTCCCCCACCCCTTTCTCCAAGACAGGCAGATTTCCTCTGACTTGGAACACAAACCAGGATGCGGAAGAGACCCGGACCGTTCTGTCCTGGGGCTGTCTCTCCTGAACTCTTGGAAACGATGGCTTTGGATCCTTGCCTCTTCCACCCCGCGAGGGCTGCTGCCTTTTCCTCTCGGAGAAAGGGGGCTCTTCACCCTCGACATCGATAGGGCAGGCGGGGCTCAATCCTCTTCCTGTTGGCGCTGGGCCCCCTTTCGCCACCCGGTTGGCGCCGCTGAGAGACTCTTATGTTGGGTCACTGAAGCGTTGGGGCATGGTGGTTGGGGCATCCGGCCGTGGCGCCAGAGGTTGGCGGTTCAGCTCCTCCTTGACAGGGGCTGAACGCGATGGTCCACCAGCGTCCCTCTCCAGCTCGGCAGTTCCAAGAGTCTAAGAACGTTTGTAAGTCCCAAGGGTTGAAGAGGAAAAATGTGAAGTCTTTCTATAAATGCAGGCGAAAATGAAAGGGGCAGATTTTCCCGTGCCTAGCAGTGCCCTCCGTGCCAGGTGAAGAGAGGCGGATCCGGCCCCTCTCCCTGGGAGCAAGCCGGCAGGGTCCAGAGGGGGACCTTCAGCTGCCCAACAGGGAGAACTCCTCTTCTGCTGCACCGCCGCCCCCACCTGCCCCGGCTGCGCATCCATGCCGCGCCAGGGTGGCCTCATGGCTCTTTCTTAAATGACCCGGCAAGCTTCTGCGCTGCCCAAGAGCCCGCCTGCAGGGTTCCAAGGGGGGGGGCGGAGGCGGGGAGGGAAGGCACAAACCCCATCATTTTTGGCTCCTTCTCTTTCTTCCCTCGTTTGCTCTGCTTTCTTTTCCTGACCCCCGACGCTAAGACCGTGCTAACTGTGTGTACATATATATTATACATATATGTATATTAAATATAATATTGAATGTTTAGTGTTAACTTATTATTATTATTATTATTTTGTCAAACGGACCAAAAACCAAACAAATCCAGAATGAAAAAGGCAAACAAGAAATGTAACAGAGTATTTCTTTCTAACGTTATGTGATTTTTTCTTTTTTTTGAATTAAAGGAGTATTTCACAAAGGAATCCAGCATCCTGCGATGCTCGGCTGTTGCTGGGAGGAGCAGGGGAGGACCGGCGATTCCAGGGTCCCCCCGGGCCGCCACCAAGGCTCGCCCCCTCTCCTCCCCATGCAAGGGCCAACTCACAGGGCTGTTGTGAGGCTCGATGTAAACAAAACAGAGAAAGAAGGCGTTGCTTGGGAACTCGGAACAAACCCCAAGCCACCTCTCCGGCGTTCACCTTCCAAATCCAGAGAAAGACTGGCTTACCTGTCCCGGTAGAGGAAGGCCACCTCCTCGCGGAGCAGCCGGTCACTTCTGGGTGGGAGGCCCCGCGCTCTCCTCCGGCGGCTGAGGGGCAGGAGGGCGTCCCGAGATCCAGATCCAGCAGCTGAGGGGAAGGAAAACGTTCCTGCTGCTGCTGCTGCACCACCTCAGGGGAGAAGGGCTCCCCCGCCCTCCAGCGTCTGCCCTGCCAGGGGGTCCCCGGGGACTCCCCTCGCCCTCCCCCCTGCCAGAGCCACACAGGTGCCACAACCCCTGCCTTAAACTGCTTCGAGACTGCCACTCTGCCCTCTTCCCAGCCTCCCTCTGCCCCTCACGGAAGGGGCAAGGTTACCCGGTGGGGGGGGGGAGACCAGAGGGCCCATTTTTAGGAAAACCCCTCCCCCCTTTACAAGGAGGACCTGGGGTCAGGCAAGGGCTGCCCCACACGTCTGCCTCTGACGCACAGGAGATGTGGCCAGCTGCGCAGGATCGTGGCCCTAGAGGGCCAGTAGAGCTCTCTCAAGGTTTGGCGTGAAGGCCGCCTCCCAGCGAGATGGGCGGAAGCCAGAGCGCGCCCCCCCCCGGGCCTGCGACTCCCGCGCAGACCAGCCCAGCG